GATAATGTGTCATTGTGGCTCACGGACTATTGATTAGTGCGAGTCAACAGGAATTGCATAAAGGGATTTCACAATTCATCAAACTAGGCGGATGTGTGTAAAAGCAGTAACTCAGTTGATTGAAAAATGAATTTACAAAATCCTATCACAGATTCAGATATATTTGTGGGTTATGATAGAATATAATGCATTGATGGCTTTGATGAATCAGAATGTCAGCGCAAATTTGCAGTTTTAATGATGATCGATATCATGGAGGAAGCCAGTCAGTCGGTGGTTTCACTGACTCGTTGTCTCATTGCCATTATCGGAATATTCAAACCACCGATATGTTCGCGAGGTGATGACTTTCTCGTAGTAGTGTTACTTGTTGTGTTGAGAGACGCTTTACACTCTGTAAAGTGAAAAGTTGTTTGGGATGACTGGTTTGATAGTATCGATTTTGAACGTGTAAATTGAGGTTTCATAAAATGGAACACTGGTAATTTGATTCATGCGCAGTAATCTCCGGATAGTATATTTTTATTTACCTTCCACAAAGGAATACTCATCTGCCCAACTGGGGACTGAACCCGGGACCTTACAGGTAGAAAGTAAGCATACTACACACTCGACCACCAGACAGTCAGATCAGACCGCTTCTCATTTTTAAATTAACACGATATAGTATAACCCATCCATAAAAGCTTATTGCGGTTATCGGTCCTCGCTTATCTCAGCACTATACCTTTTCAACTTCAAGTGAATCCGTTGTAACTTCAAGTGAATCCAACCAATCGCACTCCATTGAAAACCCCTACAAGATGATTGGTGTTTTGGCCATCAAATGTCACCGATTGGACCGGGTCTGTCTAAACCCCATCTACGCCGAATGAACTAATTTCTCGGTAAACGAACCCAAGCACTTGATGAGGATGAATGTTTCGGCGGTGTAAGGTGCGCCGTTCCCCCCTGAGCCCCCCACCCCACACACATATACGTTCCACCCGGGAACGTCGTGTTCATGATCGTTGACCGAGTGTGCGTCATAGATACGAATGAATGAACCCGGAGTTAATTGACCTCTGTCAGTCGGGTGAGGAAGCGACTTACGTCAAGATGGATCGATAAGTCGGTCACGAAGCCCAGACGTGCATATGAGCATGATTCGTTGCATGAGTGGAGTCCGTCTAAGCCCTCAATAACCCAATGAGTAAATTCCATTGAGGCTAAGGTTCTCTCGAATAAAACCGATTCCTTTGATCAAATACGATTGCTTACGTACGTCTAACATTGAAATGCATACTTGACAAGATACTCAACAATGGTAAAAATGGTGAAAGAAGTAACAGTATTTCACATGAATAGCAAGGTTAAGTTCGAACATATTCACTAGCTAAAATAAATCATATTTTTCTGTCATTCCCTGGCTGATTACCACATTCAATCCACAATACCAATGACAACAATCTGTCACCTGCGGCTTCTTCCTTCACTAATTAGCCTCATCACATAGGTTCTTATCTTTATTGAATCATTGCTTAACCCGTCGCTTTTTTTCACATACTGGTTACATCTGTGTGATCATTTATAATTTAATGAATGAGACAGACGTTGATATGAATTAGTTACAATTATCCATGATCCCACAAGTGATGATAACTCTGTACTGGGTTGGTTGTCGTAATACTGAATGTCGAATACGACTCCAGGTATATGACTCGGTTGGAAACTTTCACAACCTGATTATTTATTGTAGGAGAGTAATGGGGGATTCAATTTGTTTATATGAGGAATTTTTCATGTAAATGAGGCGTGAGCTGAAAAGCTAGAAAGCACTGGGCAACTGTTTCCATCAGCAGTGCGAATCCATCAAACCAACACAGAGTCGAACCCGGGACCTCACACGCAGAACGTAAGCATGCTACCCACTCGGCCACAGAACTCACACCTCATTTATACGACGAATTCGTCATATAAACAAATCGATTCCTCCATTACTCCCATACAACAAAGGAATATTTGTTATCCAGTTCCTGATGGATGTGCCAGTTGAATGCTGATTAACAAGCAATCAGAAGGTAGAGTGATGATTTCAGAACTTGAACTCATGAATCCATCCGATGGATGAACTGCATTACTGGATCCTCTCCATCTCAGTTCAACATTCGCAAAGGACACTGGTAGATTCATATATAACTCGTACTTTGAATTTAAATTGCCGATAAATCACCGTATTACTGGAGTATATAGACTATGAAAAAACAACCTTTTTATGGCACACAGTGATGTGATCAACAGCATAGTGAGTAAACCTCATAGTCCTATAGACCTGCAATTCTCTCACGAGGACCGGTATCCTTATCCCCGGGATTCGCAGTTGCACACCGTGTAGTATCGGTGTATTATTTAGCCTGGTGAAAGCAATGCTGAATACCATTATAATTGGATATCGGTGGTGGAGGTCGAGCCCTGAACCCTGTTGCCCAAACCACGACAGTTCCGAGGATTGTGACCGCTTGATAGCCAACACCAACACCAATCATTGTTACCAGCAACAAATCCTATCCGTTATGATTTTTTCCTCTCCTCTTCAGAGTGAAATGTTTCCGACATTCCGTTTTGTTCAAATGTCAAAAGAAAAGACCAAATTGCAATAATGCACGATTCATGTCCAGAACGATCTCGTTTCATCTCAACATGGTGCATACTGCAGAAAAAACATCAGTTACATAGGAATTTAGTATGGCAACAAAGAAGAGTAAAATACAATGAAACAGACAAACAGTCTTTTTAACCCCTCCCTCGTGTTATGTTTGTCTGTTTCATTGTATTTTACTCTTCTTTGTTGCCATGCTAAATTCCTATATAACTGATGTCTTTTCTGCAGTGTACACCATGTTGAGATGCAGCGAGATCGTCCTGGATATAAATCGTGCAGTATTGCAAATTGGTCTTTTCTTTTGAAATTGATCTCTGGAAAGGCTTGTTAAAATTTGTCGGTGTATATTGGCAACGGAATGTTCTGTCAACTCTGCGCACACTGAAATTATTCAACTGTACACAGTAATATTACTATAGTAAACGGTAAATGACTGCATCAACACTACCCAAAGTTCTTAAAAATAGCAATGAAATACAGGTATCAAATGCACTTAAATTATCTGGGATTCAAAGGAGTTGGTGTGCTAATGAAACGTTTTGTATTTGTCATTGCTAGATCTTTATAATTCATTTTGGTGCACTAATGGTTTTGGAATATTTCGTAAAACACTATAATATAAAGACGACCATAAGCTTTTTCCGGTCCATATACTATGGCAAATTATAAGAGTAGTTAAGATAAATGTGAAGCAGATATACCGCTAAATATGTATCACGTCCTTAATTGTTTTTGTCTGATTGTCATTATAATATCTATTATTTTTACTAAAACCCTATACCAGTGAATCTGCTCGAGCGGTACAGTAACTACCTGGAACAACTACAAACTACCTACCGATGTTGTGGTGCGCATTCCGTATCCGACTGGATCGGGACAGATCCACGACGAGATCGATGGACCGAGGTCTGGTTCCCCCCAGGTCATGGATATCAGCCATGGCATACAGTCAAATTTTATCTGCCTCCAAGCTGTTGTCACTCTCATAGGACTAGTATGTGCACACTGCACGTTGTTCGGATACGAGAAATTCATCTGATGAACACCCCAGAACAGCTGTATTCCAACGAGGCCCCAATATTTTCCTCGGGTTGTTTGAAAGTGATGACAGAGAGCATTACACGGGAACTGTTTGAAATAATCTGTGTAACATTTGGAATTGACATTCTATTACACATCTCATACGTCACTTGCTGTTGTTTTGCATATCAGTCACAGAATCCCGGAATTGCATATAAAAACTACTTGTCTACCCAGAATCCATCATATCTGGCACAGGAAACGCAGGGCAAATGTGGCTATATTTCAAATCGTCGCCTTTTGTTCGCTTGCCAAAATCTATTGCTGCTTGGTCAACTGTCCAGTATCCAGAACTCGTTTGCAAAAACCCGGGCAA